CGGAGCACAGGCTCCGGACGCGCAGGCTTAGCGGCCATGGCTCACGGGCCTAGACGCTCCATGGCATGTGGGATCTTCCCGGACCGGGGCATGAACCCGTGTCCCCTGCATTGGCAGGCGGACTCTCAACCATTGCGCCACCAGGGAAGCCCAATTTTCTTTTTTATATATTGCCGGATTCTATTTGCCAGTATTTTCTTCTGTATTTTTGCAACTACATTCATAAGATCTATTGGTCAGTAATTCTTTCTTTAACAGCCCTTGTCAGATTTTGGTATCGTAATAATGCTAACCTCATAAAACAAGTTAAGAAATGTTTCCTCACCTATTTTCTGAGAGTTTGTGTAATATTTGTACTATGTCTTATTTAAATATTTGAAAGAATTCCCTGAGCCCATAGCCATCTGGGCCTTTAGTTTTCATTAAAAGATATTAAGCTATTCAAATTTTCCATTTCTTTTTGTGCCTGTTTTTTATGTTTTTTTCCAGAAACTTAATTCATTTCATCACAGTTTTATAATTCATTGGCAAAATATTGTTTGCACTGTACCTTTATTACCATTTGCTATGTGTATTATATCCAGTGATGTCTCCTCTTTCATTCTTGATGATGGTAACTTGTATTTTTTTGAAGTGCACTCTTCTTTGAATGTTTTCTATTTCACTGATCTACATTCTGACCTTTATTTACTTCCTTCTATTTAATTTGGATTTAATAGCTATTATATTTCTAGTTTCTTCATAAAAGAGTTTAGATTATTGATTTTAAACTTTTCATTAAAAAATAAACCTTTAAAATGAGAAATTTCTCTCTAAGCACTGCTTTAAATGTATACAACAAACTTATTATCATACAGTTTAAAATATCTTCTATATTTCTGTTGATTTCTTCTTTGACCCAGTGGTTTAGAAATGAATTGGGTAACATCCAAATACTGTAGATTTTTCTAGATAATTAAAAAAAATGATTTCTGATTTAATTACTTTGAAGTCAGAAAATATACTTTATGTAATTTCAATATTTTGGAATTTATTGACAATTTTTGTGGCTCAAAGTCAGTTACATCTTGGTGGAATTTCCACACGCACTGGAAAAGAATGTGTATTCTGTAGTGTAGTGTGAGGTGTCCTGTAAATGTCAGTTAGTTTGAGTTGATAGTGTTGGTGTTGTTCAAATATTCTATATCCTCAATCAGTTCTTCATCTGGTTGTTCTGCTAATTAAAGCAGAAGGTTAATATCTCCCTTTATTATTGTGAAATTGTCCATCCTAGTTATGTCATTTTTTTTCTTCATGCATTTTGAAGCTCTTTCATTACTTTCATATGCATTTGGGAGTGCTGTATCTTCTTAATGAATTGACTCCTTTATTATTATTAAATGCCCCTCTTTATTTCTATTACCCCTTGTCTTCAGCTACTTTATTTTGTATTATCATGGGCAGACTTACTTTCTTATGCTTAGTGTTTGAGTAGTGTATTTTCCTCCACACTTTCACTTTCAATTTTCAAATTAAAAAAATTTTAAAGTCTTTATTGAACTTGTTACAATATTGCTTCTGTTTTATGTTTTGTTTTATTTGGCCCCGAGGCATGTGGGATTTTAGCTCCCTGACCAGGGATTGAACCCACACCACCTGTATTGGAAGGTGAAGTCTTATCCACTGGACCACCAGGGAAGTCCCTATCTATCTCTTTTTTTTTTTTTTTTTTTTTTTTTTTTTTTTTTGCGGGGG